TGTTTCCTTCTATACCCTGCAGGAACCGAAGAGGGAGGAGCTGCCCTATAAAGATGTTGACCCTCGCTGACTTTGCCAGAAATGCCTCTTCTCCTCTTCTGAGAAGGTGGGACATTTTAGCTCAGCCAGTGAGCAGAGGATATATTTGCATAAAGGAGGGTTTTAAAAGAAGACGATGGAAGGGTCATGGCTTTGCCCTGGAATGGGAGTAATATATAGTTTATGAATAAGAATAGGAAGAGAGGAAATGTGAATGTGTGTGTGTAAATGTGGGAACTGTCTACTTTCCTGTTAATAGTTGCTCTCTCCCAGCGCCGCAACCTCATAGTCGCCTTTGACTGGACTTAACCATCCAGGGGTCCTTTACCTTTTATATTTGCATGTTGAGGTCCTCCAATCCACCCCCAAATGATTCACACTTCACACATAATTTTTGTTTAAGGTTTTTGGCATAATTTTGGCCACAACTTTATTAAAATACATAACTGTGAGTGGTTGCTTAGGCATTGGTTATGAATATCTGTCCCCATGCCTAGGGACAGAACTGACTTCCGGATTCCAGTGAAAGCCAGTAAGGGAAAACAATATTGGGGAGAGCATGGAGCCGGGCACTTAGACCCTCACCCCCCCTCATGCTCCCTGGGGCTTGCACGGCCCTAAGCCCCCTTCAGGGGTACGGATGAAAGAATGGCAAGCCCCTGGATTGCTTTAATGGAATTCCCTTTCTGCAGCAGCATTGGAGGGGCAGGCACCACCAACACTTACCCCTCCACCAACCAATTTTTTAACCAATGCCTAACCGCAACCTTACAAGTTGTGACGATTTGCTACGCAGTAGGCAAAAACCAAATGGCACCAGCCAATCAGCCAATTGGACAAAATTTCTACCAGGCCCCTGCCCCAAAAGCAGGCGACCCCATGACAGGCATAGCAAGGTCAACCAAGATTCCTAAAATTAGGGAGGATGGGCGAGTGATCCGATGCACACAGCAAAAGTGCCTAGTCAGAGCTGTGTGACTTCATTTTATAACCTTTGGTCCAACCCCCTAAATGGCAACACCAAAATTTGTCCAACAACCCAACTGCCCAATCACTGCGAATGGTCATCCAAACTAACCCGCCCAGCAACAGAGGGGTGGCCTTCCAGACCCACCGCAACACGTGCTCTCTATTAATGAGAACACGCTTTAGTAATCCAAATGCTAAAGAGTCAATAGGAGCGGGCTGGAGCTGAGAGCTGCAGATAAAGGTAGTTGTTTTTTCTGCGTTCCATGCTAGAGAAGGACACATTTTTCGTCTCAGATAAAAGTAAGCTTGCTTTGTGACAGCCATTGTAGTGAGCTCAACAGAAAACCAATCAAACAGGTTGAACAGACAGAGTGCCAATAAATGGAAACCCAGGTGAGAGAAATGGTCAAAACTTCAAAAAATAGAATGAATGGGGAAATGAAATGAATCTGTCTGCACACATCTCCCAGTAAACTGAACATGACTGAACAGGAAGCGCCAGAAAAGGAGACATGAATGGGAGTCTTCTGCTTCACTTCACATCACAGGAGTTGGGGCACAGGCCATCTCTTGAATCCTCTAACGTACCAAATGTGGGAGAAGTTGAGCAACACAGCCCCCTAAGGGTGAACTCTAGAATAGCTAGTCTTGTGCATGGAAATCTTGTTCACCTTCCCGCTGCAGCAGTACCTAAGCCACTGAGCCTCTTGGACTTGCCGATCATAAAGTCGGTGGTTTGAATCCCCATGACAGAGTGAGCTCCTGTTGCTCTGTCCCAGCTTCTGCCAACCTAGCAGTTTGAAAGCATGCCAGTGCAAGTAGATAAGTTATGTATTAGCAGCATGAACACTCATGGTGTGTAAAAGGAGACCTAATGCTCTTTATCACTGCTCCAGCATTAATCTCGGGCCTCCGCCCAAGGAGCGTCTTCACCTCCATCGTTCAGCCGTGACACTGAGGTCCAGCTCTGAGGACCTCCTGGCGGTTCTCTCACTGCAAGAAACGAAGTTACAGGGAACCAGGCAGAGGGCCTTTTTGGTAATGGCACCCTCCCTGTGGAACGGCCTCCCATCAGATGTCGAGGAAATAAACAACTATCTGACTTTTAGAAGACATCTGAAGGCAGCCCTATTTAAGAAAGTTTTTAATGTTTGGTGTTTTATTGTGTTTTTAATGTTCTTTTGGAAGTTGCCCAGAGTGACTGGGGTGGTCCGGTCAGATGGGCGGGGTATAAATAAATTGTTGTTGTTATATTTGAGTGAGAATAGGCTTTTCCAGAACACCGTTGTCTGACATGGAATATTTAAGCTGTTGTTCACAATCAGTTTCCCTTCCCAGAACTGCCCTTTGGGACATCGTCCCCTAGGAACAACCATTTAGCACCACCTGCAGCTTCCGGGCTAGTCACAAGGGTAGTCTCACATAGAGAGCATTTCAGTAATACAGCCTTACATTTAAGAGTACTGTTACTTTGTCTGCTCAGTGGTGTCTTCAGAGCTGTGAAGCAGGAAGAGTAAAGGGATTTTTGTCTCAGTTCCCCATAAGACTTGATCACTGTGCAACAAGTTATAGCTGTTAAACCAAGCTGCACAGTAATAGTCAGCCTCATCTTCAACCTGGAGGTCAGTGATGGTTAAATAGCCATTGGTTCCAGTGGCAGAAGCAGTGAATCGATCAGGGATCCCTTCTCCCCTGCTGCCACCATTAACATGCACAAAGCGAGGGGCCTGCCTAGGTTTCTGTTGATACCAGAAAATATAGGTGCCACTGTGACTATCGCTGGCTGTACAAGAGAGTTTAGCCATCTGTCCTGGGGACACAGACTCAGAGGCAAGTTGAGTCATTGTATGTTGACAAAGGACACCTTTTGCACAAAGAAAAAGAAGAAGACATCGATTCACTTATTTTGCTCACAAATATAATAAAAAGCACTCTGTGGTTGGTGTTGTTTGCCCAGAAACCTATGTAAGGGGAGTCCTTCACATCCTTACCTGACAAATAGGTGAGAAGTGCAAAGGCGGACAGAGGCCAGGCCATGGTGAGCTCTCAAATGGGGTTTGAGTTCCTCAAATAAACAGTGAACTGCCAGGAACCTTCCTTCTGCTATTTTAGATCCCCTCAAGAACTGGAGAGGAAAGGTCTCACATATATAGCAATAGATGCCTATTGACGCATTGACTTTGCAAGAAACGCCACACCTCTTCTGAAGAGGCGTGACATTCTAGACCAGCCAATGAAGACAAGGTATTTGTATTTGCATGAGGAAGAGCTCTGGATAGGGATAGGACTCTCCAATATTCTGCCAATAATAATGATGATGATGATAATGATGATGATGATGATGATAATAATTTATTATTTAGACCCCACCCATCTGGCTGGGTTTCCCCAGCCACTCTGGGCGGCTTCCAACAAAATATTAAAATACAATAGTCTATTAAACATTAAAAGCTTCCCTAAACAGGGCTGCCTTCAGATGTCTTCTAAAAGTCCGGTAGTTGTTTTTCTCTTTGACATCTGGTAGGAGGGCGTTCCACAGGGTGGGTGCCACTACCGAGAAGGCCCTCTGCCTGGTTCCCTGTAACCTCACTTCTTGCAGTGAGGGAATCGCCAGAAGGCCCTCGGGTGGACCTCAATGTCCGGGCACAACGATGGGGGTGGAGATGCTCCTTCAGGTATACTGGACCGAGGCCGTTTACGGCTTTAAAGTTCAGCACCAACACTTTGAATTGTGCTCGGAAACATACTGGGAGCCAATGCAGGTCTTTCAAGACTGGTGTTATGTGGTCTCAGCAGCCGCTCCTAGTCACCAGTCTAGCTGCCACGTTCTGGATTAGTTAAAAGTGGCATGGCTCCCTCACCCCACCCCCCAGGAAGTAGTGTGGGGAGCCACTTTGCCAGCAACCTTCCCCCTTCATTTATTGTAAGGCTGTGAATATAAGATGCAGTTTAACTTTTCCAGATTAGAAATTGGGGGGGAAACTGTGGCTTATATTTGGGCCAATATGTTGATGATGGGGGTGGTGACAATGATGATTACTCTGCCCATCTGACTGGGTTGCCACAGCAACGCTGGGTAGCTTCCAACACATATAAAACACAATAGAACATTATACATTTTTAAAAAAAACTTTCTCCAGGGCTGCCTTCATATGTCTTCTAAAGGTTGTGTAGTTACTGATCTCCTTGGCTCAGGGATTGCATAACAGCATACCCATCAACATTCCTTTGATTAAAACAGAGACGTCCTAAGGAAAAGCAGGACATTCCAGGATCAAATCAGAAACTGAGGCGGCTTCTATAAATCCAGGACTGCCCCTGGAAAATAGGGACACTTGGAGGGTCTGATGTTCCACCTCCAAAGTTGAAAGAAATTTGTCTCCAAATAAAAGTTGCCTCCAAACAAATGCTGTCTGGTCTGGAATTGCAAGAGGGGAGAGTTACTGTCCACTCTGGTCCTGCTTGCAGGCTCCTAGTACTTATATAAATTCAATTATTAATAATAATAACAACAACCATCTGGCCAGTTCCTATGAAAACGAACTAGAGGGGACTTTCACCTGATCCAGTAACATAGGCGCCGACTCCATGGGGCTTGAGGGGGCCCGAGCCCCCTCAAAAATTCGTTTGGGGGGGCTCTGCCCCCCCAATAATCTCCAGCGCCCCTCCAGCAGAGCGCCATCGCCGCCCCTCCCCCAGCCCAAAATGCACAGGGAGGGGCGGGCTGCATGCCTCCTGTCCTCCCTCCCGAGCAAAAGCTCCACCCAATTTCCTTTGGAGCTGATTAATAGGCGCAGCACGCTCTCCCCTATTCGCTCACGAGGAGGCGGCGCCACTTTATTTGCATATTCATGAGCTTATTTATTATTCATGAGCTTTCTCGGGCCCCCCCAATATTTTTTATAAGTCCGCGTCCCTGTCCAGTAAGACTTTTCTTGTGGTCCTATTAGCTTGTGACCTTCCATTTCTTTCTTTTCTTTTTGCTTTTGGTGGAAGGGCAGAATGGAAATTAAAAATGTAAAGTGGTAGTAGGGTGTGCTGATTTGTGCATGGAAGATGGGGCTGACCTAAATGTAAAGAACTGATGGGAGCCAGTGCAATTTCTGTTTCCTTCACCTAGGTCATTCTCCAGAAAACAAAGAACAAAAACCAACTGCAGGAACAGATCAAATTAATATATATTCTCAACTCCCTTCTATGACAGAGGAAGACGAAAGGTTTTTGTCTCAGTTCCTCATCAGACTTGATCACCGTGCAACAAGCTATAGCTGTTAAACCAAGCCCCACAGTAATAGACAGCCTCATCTTCAGGCTGGAGGTCAGTGATGGTTAAATAGCCAGTGTTTCCAGAGAAGGAAGCAGTGAATCGATCTGGGATGCCTTCCCCCCTGTTGCTGCCGACGTACTGAACATAGCGAGGGGCCTGTCCAGGTCTCTGCTGATAAAAGGCAACATAGCTGCTGCTGCGACCATCACTGGACGTACAGGAGAGTTTAGCCGTTTGCCCCAGGGACACAGTTTCAGAGGCAGGCTGAGTCAGAGTACGCTGTGAAATGACACCTTTGTGGAAAAGAAAAAAGAATAAATTGACCTCAATTCATTCCTTCTGCTCCTAAGTATCAGGCTGGCACTGTGATAAAAACACAATATAAATAGTTCTGCAATGGGCTAGAGGCCGGTGGAAAGGGAGTCCTCTACATTCTTACCCGAAAAATAGCTGAGAAGCGCAAGGAAGGATAGAGCCCAGGCCATGATGAGCTCTCTAGAGGAACTGGAATCTCTCTTGAGAAACAGATCACTGGCAGGGATCTCTCTGCTTCTCTTTTAAATCGCCTCAGAACTGCAGGTGTTGTTTCTGTCATATAAAAGGATCGGCAGCCATTGGCTTTGCTAGAAATGCCAATCTTCCTCTGAGGAGGTGGGGCATTCTAGATCAGTCAATAAAGAGAGATGGCGTTTGCATGAGAGAGGTTATTTTTCAAAGAAGCAGGAAGGCTCCTGGTGTGGGAGCAATATGTAGGTTCTGATGCATCACACAGAACTATGAGTAGAGATGGAACAAATAAGTTAAAGGTAAAGGGGACCCCTGACCATTAGGTCCAGTCGTGGCTGACTCTGGGGTTGCGGCACTCATCTCACTTTACCGGCCGAGGGAGCCGGCGTACAGCTTCCGGGTCATATGGCCAGCAGGACTAAGCCGCTTCTGGCGAACCAGAGCAGCGCACGGAAATGCCGTTTACCTTCCCGCCAGAGCAATACCTATTTATCTACTTGCACTTTGACGTGCTTTTGAACTGCTAGGTTGGCAGGAGCAGGGACCGAGCAACGGGAGCTCACCCCGTCGCAGGGATTCAAACCGCCGACCTTCTGATCGGCAAGTCCTAGGCTCTGTGGTTTAACCCACAGCGCCACCCGCATCCCAACAAATAAGGTGTTTGTGTGTAAATCCGAGGAACAGCTATTTTCCTGTTAACAATATCCCAAATATTGAAGAATCAGAGGACTGGCAGGGAGGAAGGCAGCTCCAATTATATATTTGCCCCCCCCCCCCATAGTCCAGACGAGAGGGGGGCACATTTTGCCCGTCCAGCAAAGAAAAGGAAGCTTGTTTTGTAACAGCCATAGTAATGTGCTCAGTTAAAAGAAAACACCATTCAAACAAAGGAATGGTACTGATGAACGGAAACCAAATTGAGAAAAGCTTCAAAAACTAAAATGAATGGGGAAATGACATGAATCTATCTCCCAGGCAGCTGAGAATGACTGAACAAGAAGCACAAGAAATGTGGTGAAGTTTATTAGTGCCCAGCGCCACTCTTAGTCACTTGACTAAGATGTGGCCTTTCCAGAACATCTTTACCTGTTAGGGAGTATGTCTTAAGTCCCGTCCCTCCCACCCCCCAAAATTAACTTTATGTACAATTAAATTTATATCCCATTTCCCCCCCTAAAAGATGTAAGTAATCTAGTGTCTGCAATGTAATTAAGAGACAAAAGAGGCCTATGGCTGGCATGCATGCATGTTGTATGGAAACACAGAAGTACCCTTCTCATTTTTCCATGTGTAAAAGGACAAGTCACCCCATGTAGACCTTGTCACTATCACGCCCCAGAAGAATGGATGTCAGATTCTCGCAATGTTTGTCAAATATCTGGCTTTATGACCTCTGGGGTCCCAGTTGTGTCTTCAGAACAGGACTGTGAAGAATAAATCCATGTTCTCTCTTCATCTGGTTTTAATGCGGGATGAACATTGCGGAGGCATTTTATGGCATCTCAGCGACTCAGCAAATCTTGTCAACTGGGCCACATGCAGAGTTTTTCAGCAATGTAACTGTGGGATAGGGACGCAGGTGGCGCTGTGGGTTAAACCATAGAGCCTAGGACTTGCAGATTAGAACAGTGTTTCCCAAACGTTTTTGGGCAACGGCACACCTGTTTACTGAAAAAAAATCTCGCGGCACACCACCATTAAAGCCCCGCCCCGTGACGTCAGCGCGCAGCGTCACGCCGGGAGGGACGCACAAAAGTGAAAGTTTTTTTCCCTCCCCCTTGCTGGGGAACCTCCAAGCTTTGGGGGTGGGAGGAGGCAGCAGAGCGAGGGACTGAGGGACGGCGGCAACTGAGGCGGCGGCGGCTGAGGCAGAGCTGGGAAGGGGGTTTCCAGGGGACACGGCAGCTCCTCGAAAGGCTTCTCTCAGCTGCGCTCAATCCGCCTCGGAGAGGATTTCCCCTCCGGTCCCATGCGTTCGTTTGGGGCATCGCTCCGGCTGCTCCCTCTCCCGCCGCGCAGGAGCAATGCCTCTCTCTGGCTCTCCCTCCGCGCAGGCTGAGGGAGGGAGGGAGGGGCGCGTGTGACCCGTCTCTGCTGGGAGACCAAACCCAGCGAGGCAGAGTCGCGCGGAGGCGCCCAGGCAGCGCTGCCGGCTGCGAGGAGGAGCGCCAGGCAGCAGCAGGAGGCGCGGCCTCTCCTCGCTGCCGCCGCCCCGCCTCTCGCCGCCCGACTCGCCCGCCTCCCTCCAGGCATCTCGCGGCACACGAGGCAACGTCTCACGGCACACTTGTGTGCCGCGGAACACCGGTTGGGAAACACTGGA